CGTCATAAGTGGATTGAATTTTAAAGAGCCTATATCTCTATTTAAGAAATGCAGTTTTAACCCTATTGACACAGAAGGAAAACTTTCCTTCATTCTTGTTGCGTTCATTTCTCATTTCGTGCCGTTGCGAGGAATTTATGCACGTTTAGTTTGTTTCGGAAACTCTCATTTTGCTTTCCTTCAATACGTGCTTCACCGAGGGAAAACATCTCACTTCCTGCTATGAAATGATGTTATCATAGCCATTTAGCAAAGCAAGGCCAGATATTTGTACTGAGTCATATCATGAATATAAATCGACATTTTTTTGTAAAAGAGATTTTTTTCTCATGTAAACTAGGTGATGAGTAAAATATTCTCAGATCGTGAATCTATCTCATAATGTTCTTAAACTGGCGAACGCGCAGATGTTAGCAGATGTTTTTGGCTCACCCGCTACTTTCTTTCAACTAGATGTCACTTACGGAACCCGAAGCTACACAACATCTACAACTACAATTGTTGTGGGCCAAGCATCACTTGTTTAACACTCACCAACAACCTAAAATGCTTTCATGACGTTTTGAAAACACAAGAGGCCGCTTATTTAAACAAAATTTAGCCGTTGTTTAACAAAACCGCGTCCTAAACTATCCTGGGTTTAGCTGAACCTTTTATGTGAACATTCATATTTGTGAACAGTTTGAAGAGAGCTGAAGGCTAACAGTATAAGAACACTCATTCAACGAGAACAAACCCCATTACAGAGAATATACAAGACCCACTGCTTGCGTAAAACTGCGGTTTGGATTAGACTTCGCGTAAATAACCGGTCCAATATGTTTATTTAAGGCAAGGAAGGAAATAAGATAACCCAACGCCAATTCCTCTGAATCTCCTAACTTTCCATACAAAATTCTTCCTTTTCTTAAATTAGTTCATTTCGTGTAAAAAATATTCTTTTATCTAGTCTTGAGTAAACAGCGTCCAGTATGTCACGTTCTAATCCAATAAAAAGAAACATGCTGTTTGTATTTGATCTAATGGGTTTACTTAGTGTACCGTCATCAAAACGCGTTTGTAGACTATTTTCATTGACGAAAAACAGGAAAGCAACTATCAGGCAGCCGCACAGAAATACTAGGAGACGAATTTATCATATTTTCCAGAGCCTCATTAATACACACTTTAAAAGCAAAGTTTTAAAAACAAAATTGCAGACAAACGAAGCTTCTTAAAACAAACCAAGTTCTGATGCAATTCCACTGGCTGCTTGCCTTTAGCAGCTGTTTAGCAATTAAATTCAGTAAGTTTCTAAAGAAATTGGGGCGCACGACCATAATTCAGCAAAACTTTAATCACATTTTAAATTAATGACTTCTCAATTAAAGCTTCTGGCTGTTTTACCTCGCTATTAGAACAGTCTTTCGATTTTAACATGTTTTTATGACATTTCGGTTTTCAAATCAGACCGTTTTTAGAGGGGCTTTGAAATTGAAAATAATAAAAGCAAACTGAAGGAGTTCTAAAAACGGAGAAATATTGACTTCACACTGCAATGTGAAAATTATTTCTTTTGTGATGTTGGGCTACATTTA